GATTCGCATGGAAGGGACTGAGGAAAACCATCCACAATTCCGTACGGATAAGATACACGAGCAGATTTTGTTCTGCATCGGAAAATCGCTAATACGAGGACTGAGGCTTATAACCGTGTCTGATAGCGACGATTTTTAGGAAGAATTTTTGTTTTTTCTGAACGTTCAATGTCAATACATTGTAATAAGCGAATGTATTCATTTCCTTCCTGGTCGAGATGAGGGTATCCTGATATTCATCCACCCGTCCTAAAGTTTTCCCTCGTTACTGAACATGCAATGTGTATCAAGCTGCAAAGGGCAGTTGTCAAGAGATATGCAGAGTCCTTACTTTTATGTGGTAATATTGTTGCAACATCAGTAATTTAATGTCGATCAATACGAATTTTTGAACAGAATAATTAACGCAAATTTTCCTTCTAACATTTCTTTATTTAGACAGATAATCAAGAGTCAACCTGAGTTGTTTGTATGAGCCTACGTGTTTCCATTTTATGCTAACGGTCACGCATGCATCTTGATTCAAATGGAATGAATTAATCTCTTGATCCAATAAGCCGATTTGAAGTCGCGCAACATCGTCACCTGACAATGGAATTAATTTTGATTTAACTATTCTGTCTTTTCGTGACGCCGATTGATTTTAAAATGTTGACCAGGGTGGTTCTGGACCCAGAATTTGCGTAACAATATGATATGCAGTAAATGCATACTTTCCATAAGAATCGAGGATGTAACCAGTTCAAACGCCATGTGGCAGTCAAACAGCGAAATATTTTCTTGACAATATTAAATATACTGGTACGTTAACATCAACAAATGTCATAAGAAACAAGATATTTTATAGGACAACCAAAGGGGCTGGTGAAATGTTCACGTTTTAGATTTGTATTCGTGAAATATCGACCGGATTTTAATTTGTGATTATTTCCTTATCCTGATTCTTCAACCTTGTTAAACCGAAATACTTTCCTAAGAACGCTATTTTGGAACAATCGTACTTTATTTTACCCCTCACAGTAAGAACCCACTGTTTGAGTGCATACGTAAATAAATACTTACGTATCTCAATAACAGGTGAGTCAATTCTGATATGAATATATAATTACACAGTAAGATGTTAAATAAATAATTCTGAATGCAGACACATTAATAAAAGTAAAGCATCATGTTTATGCATGTGTGCCAAATATGTGGCAATGTTTCGCCAGCAGTTTCAGTGCCATCTTCATAACTACTGTTCTTACCTTGCTGCCAAAGATGAGGCACAACAGAAGTGTGACGGTCAGCTGGGTGTGGCAGAAGAATATGATGTACAGCAAGTCGGGGTTGGCAGGCTTCTGCAAGAACAACCTAGGGCATCGAAAGGTGTGATAATTATCAACAGATACCAAAGTGGACGTAATTAAATTTACATGTAACGAGTATAGATGACATTCATATTTTTAGACATATTTCCAATATATCTTCGTCAATTGATCATATATGTGCGTGTAAAGATTTTAACCTGACAATATGACAACCGCACTTACGATCTCTAACAATCTTAAGATAGAATGTTAGTTTCGTTAAAGCGGATAAGACCTGCCTGCCCTTTCAACCTGTAACTTTAAGACCTCGTTACGAAGGGAACAAAAACTTTTCAATATTCTTTATAAAAAGATTATGAATATACATGCATCACACAGTACGATCGTAATAAGACAGGGCTGCCAGCCAAGCAGAAAATAAGCCCACAATAACATGAGATATAAAGTAAGAAACATTAATGGTACAGAACATAAAAGTGCAGCTTCGTACCCTGTGACTCGTAACTTGACAAATACGGGGTATTTTATGAAACGAGGGGGCTTAGGAGTTTGTAGAGATCTCATAGCATAGCAATAAATAAATACGTACAGAATATTGGTAAGGAAATACGTGGAAAGCGACGCGACACTTGGAAGGAGGGAGGAAATGAAGGGATAATACGAAGGTTTTGAAGGTGTGAACTGTACAAAAGCGGCCCTGTCCACTGATACCAGGACTTCGGGTCCTATTACGGGAGTTATGAAGTCGATCGGGTGGTCACGTTAGAGCGGGTAGAACACCTACAGACGTTTACCAATACTTTTCATGGGATAACCACGGCATGGCAATCGACAGTTACTGAGTGTGTAATGGGGACATCAAGATTAAGGGTGATGCATCTGCAAATAGCGTGGCATTAATATGAACAACCACGACTGTGCTGGGCCTGGTTATAAGCTTCATCTGACAATCGAGTCAACAAGGCAGGCATCAGGGCACAACACGGAGAATATTAATGTTTCGTTCTGTCATGAGGTTTCGTGCGACTCACGGTCGAACGTGAACCAACTTGAATCCTGGACAGGTATACGAAAAATGAAATACACCTCGACTGCTCCCTTTCCTATTATTTGAAATCACAACACGTGCTCATAATCTTATAATTATATTACCAACTAATAACAACCCAGATGATCATGACAGCTGAAATAAGTCAGCGCATTGTTGTCGAAGACACATGCTGTCTTCATCTTCAGGGCCTTCCAGCATCGCAGCTTCAGCCCTGAAGATGGAGACAGCATGTGTCTTCGACACGCTGGTATCTATCTACGAATTAGGAAAGTGTTCCCTTCGAAACTTGAGCGACAACAGTCTGTCTTTCCTGACATACTTTTCATTTGTGAGATTTCAGATTCTTACGGCCGTAAGTATAAAGAGGAGTGTCTTCTGGCATCTTCTTTCGTGTAGTTCCGACGTTTTATAGGTGCTTACTGCCTCCATCATCACCATAATCATAATGGATTTGATTATTTAAGCAGTAAGCGTCTCTGAAACGTCGATCAATTTCTACGAACTGTAAGTAGCAAGCAGGCTACTTTTTACTTCGCGGCAGTAACACAAAATTTGCATTCGGATGGTACCCAGTTCACATCTCGGTCGGACATAGAGGGTTACGCCAAATCAAGAAGTCGATGTTTGTGAAGTCAGTAGTAGCAGCGTTTCAAGACAAAAAGCAAGGCGAAGATGCTGCATGGCTGGGATAAGGGCGAATTAACCGATAAGCTCATCTGCGCCTCTTCTCTGTTCTGCTAATTACAGTGAAAGCGACTACAAGCAGCAAATTATCTGCATAGGCTACCAGTTTAACTCTTCAGGCCGGTCGCTCTGTCAGGGGGAGCAGAACACCAGAGTCACATCACCGAATAAGAATCCGTGGAAGGTATCCTAGCGGCACTGTTTCAACATGCCAAGTTCTTTCTTTCTTCCTTCATATTTATTTAATTAACACGCTTACATCCTTAAAGCACAGCGAAATTACGTCCTATTTACGAAAAACTGCCTTCCTGTGCTTACCACCATGACAACTAAACACTGGACTCTTATACGACTACCAGGCTACAAATTGTTACGTATGCAACCTGAAACGAAAATATCCGTTCTGATGCGTGTCTACAGACAGAGACAGGAGAGGAAAAATATATTTATTTAATTTTCGTTTTAATATTATCCTCCCATCTGCGTGTAAATCTCAGGAGTGATCGCATCCGAAAGAAAAATACATACTCAGAATGTCAAACAAGTGTGTGCAGATGCAGTGGTCTGTGTCACGCGATCACCGACCTCCGTGTTCCTGCTGCCAACACACCGCGTCGTCCTCGTGTTTAATCTGCGAGGTACCCAGATGACACCTTGAATTATCGATATTACGGAACCTCGATTACAAATTCACTTCCACGCCTAATTTACAAGAGGCATGTCCACGCATTTCTCTACCGACAGAAAGCTTCAGTTAGCCTTACTGAGAAATCGACACAATTTGTGCATCGCGTGTTACACACTGCATTATGAGGAACAGTTGCGTGATGATGCGCGATTATTTCTTCACACAGTGGCGTCGTCTGTAGAGGAAATGTCGTACTACCTATCTTTATCATGTGAAATACGAAATGCGTGTTTTTCACTGCCAAACTCTGTAAACAATTCCGAAACACCCTGTATAAGAAAGACAGAAGGAAAAAAAGGACTCACATGGAAACATTGAGGAACACCGAGAGTAAGAATTCGTTGTAGATTGCCATGGAGATGAAACGACTCTCGTTGAACTCAGAAGGGGCCTTGCGAACTACGATGCACAGGCGAATTCCCCATACGAGAAACATCACTTCCACTGCAAGCAGAAACAATACAAATCATTTTGAAATGTGCCAGATGTAAAGCATTTAGGAAAGACAAAGACGAAATTATATTCTCGATTAAATGAAAAACTGCTGGCGCCACTAACCCCACGGGAGAAGCCTCGTGTGACGTCAGCCCACTACTCTAAGATGTCCTCACGACACTGACACATACGCAAACGAAGGTGTAAATATTATTAGGACTACCAAATCAAGAAGGATGAGACGGATGGGGCATTTATCGCACGTGGAGGAATATGAGAAATGCGTTCAAAATTTCAGCTAGAAAACCTCAGGAGAAGAGACCACTCGGAAGTACTAGGCATAAATGAGAGGACTGAAAGGCGTGGATTGGATTCACCCGACTCTACATAGGGATCGGCGGTAAATACAACAATAAACCTTCGGGCTCCGTAAAAGTTGGGGAATTTCTTGATTAGATTGGCGTAGCGTACTATTATTACCTTTGAGTTAGGTCCTGGATATTTGCATTCGTTCAACATATCAGGCACCAGAAAGTTCAAAGCTGTCCATATCTCCGAAGCCTAATTCTACAAGATTCATTTTAATACTGTATCTCCATCTACATACGTCTGCCACACTCTCTTCCCATAACGATCTCCAAACAAAATGCTTTCGAGGCAATGCCCATAATAAATTGAAGGTGATACTTTGTCTCCTAGAATGTATATTCAGAGAGACAGACATTGTCTGTTTTTACAGAATGCAAAGGCCCATTAGAGGGAGAGAAGAGCGACACTTGAACCAATCCTGATCGACCTGATTCCAGTGCACAGCTTAAACACCTATTTCTCTACTAGTCAGTTTACTATTGTAGTCTTCCGGGCTGTGACGCCTGTTTTCGTAAGTGACAATTCGAATGAACATTCACATCTACCATCTACACTGAAGACGGAGGTGACATGTTCCTCCTAAACATACATAACGTACAGGAACGTATGACTCATAACGCAGAATATCACACACCATCATTCCATTTACACTTAGGTCTTCCAAGTGACGCATTATAATAAGGTTTCTGTAACTAATTCTGTTTCGAGGTAGACTAATGAAGTGGTACTTTGAATACAGCATCCTTTTGAGATTCTCTCTAAATTTTAGCAATTTTAAAGCACTTTATCAAACTTCTGGCTCGTAACTGGTAACTCACAATAACATAAACTTCCACCCCCGAATCGATCAGACTTCCAGGAAGACGGCAAACCTATAAAAGTATATAGCTTCTAAGAAATAACCCTGATTAGTAATGATTGAAATAATTAAAAGGAAGGAGAAATTAAACAGCAGAACTTTTGCACAATGCTAAATAAACGCATTTATGAAGTTGTCACACTGTCAGAAAAAATAATTCGTGTCACCTCCGATCTGTCGGCAACACTTGAAGCACAATATTTCTGCTAAAGTCTCTTAGAAAGCGACCACATGGCAGCTCAATAGAGAGAAGGAAATAAATATTAAAATGGATCTAAGAGGTTGTGAGGATTGAAGGCAGATGAAACTGGTTCAGGTCGTGTCTAATATGTTCTTTGCTGACGGCGGTGTTGAAACCCAGCAGTCGGTTATTTCAGTTTCGAAACCGACGTCTGACGTGGAAGCAAAGTGAGACCAAGTGGACCCAACTCTTTGCGGCACATTTCAGTTATTTTAATTAAAACGGAGCAGAATCTTGAGACATTTCTCTGATACACTATTTTGCCTGCGGAATGCTTGTTACCGAAGTTTCAAAGTGTACTACTTGGATCCGTCCATAATACACATTCTCGTTCCATTTAACTACAGCTAAAATTTCATTCAAATATATCAGAACGGTCTCTTTATAAATTCAGTTTTGTTAATGTACTGAACCGATAAAGGAACAATTTTAGGCATAACGAGACCTGAAACTAATTATTGTATCCAATATTTTATGCCATAATACATTTTCGAAATCCACTGAAAATTGTTAACTAAGTTATAATGAGGAGACTTTGATAACTTAATTCACCCAACACAAACTCTTTCATACTCCACAGAAGTAGAAAAATGTATTGTGATGCATATTTATGAGCCAGTAATTGATATCCAGCTACTCAATAAAACGTCAAAAGTGAAATGAAAATGACAAACAACACAATACAAAAAGATTACACGTGGCGCTATTTATCATACTGCAGAATGACTTTAAATGGCGGAACAAATCCCGGCAGGAGGTAGAAGTTTATCGTCACTGACAACAAAAGGCACCAAAGCCATTCCACGGGGTAACCAATCGATTCTACGAAAGTTTCATCGTTCAAAGTGTTAGAACTGCACTCCGTAGATACGTACCAACGCGTGTTCCTAGTTCAGGTCATATGGACCTAAGTTTCAAGTAACTTTCACAATTTACACCCTAGAAGCACGAATGATGTCATTTATGCATGTCTCTTAGCAGTGTTACTCAAGTCACGGAGGTTGCAATGACGTGGTTAGAATGGGTGAGACAAGAACTGCGTACAGAATTTTCATGGGAGGCCTAGAAAACGCCCACTTGCATGAGCAAGAAGACGACCGTATTCTGGGACGATTCCATCCGATGCATCTATCGTGGGGAGGCATTAAACACCTCTGAAACAACGGTAGATTTCCGCGAGACGACACGGCAAAACACCCCAAAATACAGCCATAATCAAGTACATACACATTTATTTATATGTAGTTTTCACTCTCAAAGGTTGAGAATGATTTTCAGTAAACTGCGAAATTTACTAGTGGACATAAGATTAATATGAGGATAGCTTAAGGCGTTGAAAATAAAAATATTTATTTTCACTGGATGCAGAATCTGAACTTTTGTTACAGGATCGACCAGAAATATGTGATTTATGTTTCTGTATCTTAGATGGCGAAAATCGTT